AATTTTGTGATTAATTTTTAAGCCTGAAATATTGTTGTTAAAAATTATACGAATTTTAGACTGCAATATATTTTGACACTATTTTCGATATTTTTTGAATTGCCATTAAACAAATGTATAAGTAACCTTGTATTAAATTATTTAGCTTTTTGACACGGAAAAAATTGTTTTAAACATAAATCTAAAAATAATTAAATAAAGTCAAAACTTTAATATGTCTATAAATAAGTGTTTAGAAGAACAAGATATTATCAGTTAGAAAATGTTTATATTAATACTTGGTAAAATTTTAAGCAGGTAAAATGGTAATTCATTTTTAATTCAATATAATACCCACAACAAAAAACAAAATGGATTGTTTTATTAATTACTTCGAATTTTAGGTTCTTGGTGGAGCAATGAATTTATTGATTTTATATATATATAAATATAATATATGCTTTTAACGGGAATTTTTATGTAAACCTAGTTCTACAAAACTGATTTGTTTTTTTGTGTAACTCGGAAATGAATAATTCTAGATACTTGGAATTTGTATTAAATGTTTATATGGTTATTTGCTATACATAATATATTTGTATAAGTATTTTGACTTTATTGGAGGTGTTTATAGAATTTAACTTTTTGAATTTTTTTCCATAAATATTAATAAAATAATTATTTATTGAGTATAAATGTTTGAAAATTTAATGAGAGATATCTAATAAATTATTCATTTATAAATTAAAAAATATTAACAATTTATGCTCATAATATTTTATCATAAACGTTTAAATTAAGAATTTCAACAAAATTAATAAAATCTCTCAAATTTTAAAATTATTTTGCAGTTAGAAATTCATAAACATTTTCTTTTTATATCTTAGATTTTAAAATCGAATACAAGGTTCTATATAAGATTTTAAGACTATTTTAATAAATAATTTATTGTAAATTCAAATTAATATTTTTTAAGAGTGTTGAAACTTTCAACATGAAAGTGTAAAATTTTATGACATTGCATATTATTATTATTATTGTAAGATAGTACTATTTTTCCCTTCAAATGATTAAAAACAAAATAAAAGCATACATTTTAAGTTGAAATTGGACTAAATTAAATATTTAAATAAACTATGAATAATTATATGAATAATGGAATTAATTATTTTGTTATGGTTCAAAAACATTATTCGTGAGAATACAAAACTAACTTTTATGTATATTATTAAATTTTATAGGTACCTACACACAATGCTATTTTTAAATGCAATATTTTTGACAACAATTTATTAAACCTACTGTATTTTTATAGTCATCAGTGATCTGCTCACACCTACCGTAAAGCAGAGTTTCAGAGAAGTTCTTATTTTCCCACTTTTTTTATTGAAATTACTCCCCCAAAGTTTAATTTAGATCAAATTTTCTACTATAAACCACACTTAATATTTAATCATTTTTTTCTATTTATAATGTTTTTGGACACTACATTATTTTAAGATCAATATATTTATCGTTTTTTTCTACAATACCTAAAATTTGTCTATATATTGTAGTTCTAAAAAGTGAAATTTAAAATTATGAAAAAATATATTTCCAAAAGTCTCATTATTTATTTCAAGAAAATTAATGTTAAAACTGTTAAAATTCTCACCTTGTATATTATGTATAAAGTGTTGTTATAGGCGATTCTACCAACTCCTTTTATATCCTTACGACTAAATTTAATCTTAGTTCATATGCTTATTATGCATTTAATGTATAGATAATTTTTTCAAATAAAAATATATTGACGATAGTAATGTTTTGTAATTTTATTTATATTATTAATGTATAAAAATAATAATAATCAAACATCTATCGCGGTTTAATATATTATTTAAACGTCATTTCATTGCTATCAACTTAGTTACGTCTGGCTCTATAATAAATGTAAATAAACTTATCTAAATAATTTTAAAAAATTAATAAATTTTACGTTATCCACTATTTTACTGAAAAATATTGAAAAATATTTTTTGGCACCAATGTATTTTGTTAACAATTATATCGTTTGTACTAAGAATGGAATATAATTCTGTTATTTACTTTCAACATTATAATCCAGAAAATATTATTTTAAGTAATGTATTTATTACATAGTAATTTAAAAATACTAAAAATAAATAATTAGTATAAAAATTTAGTAGATTTAGATCAGGCCAATATGGAATAAGTTACCCATAATATAATAAAGATATAAAAAAAAATATCTGCAGTTTTGGCGTTCTGTATCATACGTGATATTTTAATTAATTCATATTATGTTAAGTTAATTTTTAAATGAAAAGATAAAAATAATGTTTAGGTTAAAGTTAAAATTTATTAAAATAGGTATATACCCATTTTAATTTGTTTTAAAATGCATATATAGATAGTAGATACAAATATTTAATGCTAAAAATATTATTTTGGTTAGAAAATGTGATTAAATATTTGTGAAAATATCTTAATTCTCATTCATATAATATTATATATATTAAACAGTCTTCTTATTAAAGACTTAACAATTAGTGTATTATGAATAATTTTGATAAAAATAAATTAAATTTGGTTGTTAAAAATGTATCTCCATTATTATAGGCATATTATATAAATTATACTTAATATTTTAACGATATAATAGAATATTTGTAAAAATATTTTACGTTTTATTTTCAAGGTTTTTATATTACATGTTTATTGTATGTATACCTATATAATATTGTTTGTAGGCACATACTGTGATTCATACAATATTTTAAGTTAAACTACTAAGTTTTTGATTCAGAGCGGACGCGTAGGAGTGAATGTGCTTTCAAATTTGAAGCAATTATGCCTTAGTACATTTTATTTTTTGAAAAATACTACTCGTATTTTGGGTAGTGACATTAATATTAACGTTTTTAATTTTTCTATTACTTTTTAAGTTGCATAGTAAATAAAAGCTTTAAAATGCATTAAACATTGATGAAATTTGAGACACATTATTTTTAATTGATGTAGGGTAATATATATAGGTATATTCTAATATATTTTTTAAGAGGTTCTTAATTTGAAGATGTGAAAAATAATAGGTTATATTTAAATTTAAAATCTGTAAAATAAGACTTATAAAATACAATTTAGATATTTTTATAAATATTAAAATTTAAGTTGTCTATTTGAAATTTATAGGATTAAATTATATTGATGATTGTGAAATATACCTAATCATTAGATTTGAACTGAATAACTACTCGGATCAAGTATTGCCGGAGGATAGCTGTTTTTTCTACGTTCTACGCCGTTCAAGGTTCATAAAAAAAATGATTCCGTCATATTATAGTATAAACATTTACAAAGTTAAAAAATAAATTAATGTTCAAAAACTATTATGTAAATAACTATATTATATACAAGTTTGTTTGAAAATTAATTTAAAAATCGTTTATATTAAAAAAAAAGTTTAATAATAGGTAAGGAATTAAAAAAAAAAAGATTTATTCAGTTAAATTGAATCGATTAGTTATCACAACATTAGCTTAATATTATTTACGATAATAACAAACAATAATGTATATCGATGTATACATAGTGTTTACTAAGCAAGTTCACCTCCATTTTTTCCATTAATAATGATAATTCGAATTTTGAGTTTTGAAATTTTTAAATATACCTATTTCATGGTTATATTCTGTTTTCTAAAATTAAAACCTTTTTTTTACAGCAAATTATTTACCGTAGATAGTTTTTGAAAATTGTTTTGAATAGTTTTGTGTCACTTTTTTACAGTTAAGTGTTTAGTGAACATTTCTTTTTTTAATTTGATCTATTAAAATTAAAAACTCGAATGAATAATTTTTAGTTATTAAGATATTTATTTTAAGAATATTAGTCCTCAAAAGTGGCTTAAAAAAACATAAAATAAAATGTAATATTATTTTATTTAAAATAACAGTCTTTAAAAATAATTTAATAAAAGTACAATATATATATATATATAAATATAACATTTGATTTAGTGTTTATTATATTTGGGTCACTTAAAAAAAATTATAAACATCGATAGATTTATACAAATTACTAAAACATTAAAATTCCTATAGTTCCCATTTTTTATAAGTCCATTATTAAGCACTTATTGGCTATTATTCATAGTGTTCTAAGTAAAATATCACAGAAACTGCTCAATCGAATTTTAATATTGATGATCAAATTAAAAAAAAAAAATGTTCACTAAATACTTTACTGTAAAAAAATGAAACTTTTCATTTCTACAAGAAACTCTTTTAGTAATACAAATCTAAAAAACTTGAAATATGGTTTTTAAGTATATTTAAACATATTAAAAATCAGCTTTTGAAAAACTGCACATTATTGCAAAAAATAAAGAGGGTAAATTTATCTGTGTTATAATCTTGTTCATTGCAAGAATAATAAAATTGTCGTCATTTAATCTTCGATATGCACGTTATAAATTTTGTTTTTCTTAGGCCACAGACAAAATATAATTTTGAGCGCACACGCAAAAAGATAATTTCTCTACAATGCACGCTCGCGTTAAAATATTAAAAAAAATTAAATAAACGTATAATATAATGAATGCCAATCATTTTAACTGACGCTGCAGACGTTTCGTGCGTCTATGTATAATGCATCTCTATTCAGGTTATAAAATTTAGTGAACAATTAACGACGGACGGACCTATGAATTAGAGTCAATTGGTGACGACAAAAGGTCATGGTTCTGTTGCAGGTGTTGACCGCTTCGACGCCTATACAATATAATATCATTATTATTTATTGCTACCTATCTATACATAAATACTTAGACGAAGACTGTTTAAATTATTCCTTATTATAATTATTCGCCAATTGGTTTTCATTTAACGAAAATTTCCCACTCAAGTGTCGCGCCTGAATCTTGCCGTCTTGTCGTAACCATCACCTGCAGCCCACGTTTACAACAAAATATATTATATCGATTGAATATCGGAAATCTCAGACGTACGCCGCGTAGATCTGTATTATAATTGACGTCCGGCAGCTGCTGTGCTGTAACACTCGTTCGCGAAACAGATAATAATATATTGTGCACAGCATACGAGTTCCGACGTGCTTTTCCGGACGATAATACTATTATCTTTTATTGCCGTGTGGTCGTGTGCGAACTTGTATTGATTTCGTCGTGACGGAAACACGGCGGATCAATTATTATACGCAGTAATGTTTCATAATATGATCCGTTTCACAACTTTGATTCGGCTTGACAATATCACAATACATACATGAAAGCTTCTACCATCGAACTTCGCGGTACACAGCCAGCAGCAGACGGTTAATAATAAGTGAGTTTTATTTTTTAGCAACTCTTTATATATATTGATGTATGTTAAAATTTCTATAGTGGTGAGTGACGACGGCTGATGAGACGTGCGTATTATAATATATAGCCGTAAAGTTGCTATTTATTTAAAATTATAATCTAAGAAATTTTAATGACTTCCCTTTTGTACTAAAAAAAATCACCAGACCAATGGCAATGTCTAAATAAAATGATTCAAGTATATTATTATTTTAAACTCTTTGTAATGAACAAACGTGTATCTAGTATTATATAATGTTATATAATATACATTTAAAACCTATCATAATTTCAGCTATTTGATTTTAATACCTGCTCTTCAGTAATGCTCCCACTCCCACACACACACATATACGTATAATTAATATGTACCTATAACTTACACTAGTCTGCATATTATTAAATATAACTACCAATTACATATACCTTTCAACATCGAATATGTTATACCTGTATACTTAATATATATTATGTATATTATACATGGTCAAATCGCGTAGAGAATATATTTCGGAGTATATACGATGCGGTCGCCGGTGGATCGATTATTAATCATGAAAACGGAGTAAAATGCATAGGAGAAGGTACTTTCTGAATTATATGATAAATTTACTCATTATTTGTATGTATACAGTATATAATATTAAATTGTTAATCAATAATCAACCAAATTTTGTATCACTAAAGCAATTCAGTGGCATTTCAAATTTTAAGTAGGTAGGTAATAGGTTAATAGGTATTAACTACATTTTACTTAGTTATACAATAAAGGTAAAAAAATAAAAAAATAAAAAATATTTTTACACTTAATATTAGTTAATGAGTTTTTGTTTGGCATAGATATTTATAATATAAACCTAGGGTCAGTGCTTTATGCAATTGTTTGTGTGTGTATGTGCGTAAGGGGTGGTTCATATAAATATAAAAATATTTGTAAGTATAAAATTATTTTTACTTTAATTTTCTTATTCATATTGTTTTATTATGCGTCCATGGTAGTTAAATAACTAAATATAAGTAGGTATAATTTCCTACTATTTTAGAACTGCATATAATACATCTTTTTATCGCTTTTGAACGATGCGTACTAGGACCTCAGGGGTCCTCTTAAGTATTATTATATTGCATTGTCCCATACGTTAAGAATTGCTAGGGTATAGTAGAGTTACTACCAATGTGGTTTACGGAGAGGTCGCTCAACTATTAAACAGCTATTCATAATACGAATTGCTTAAAAGATACAAATAACGGGGTCAAAGTGTTTGAAGAAGTAGTGAAGAAAATAGGTTTAGTAATCAGTACTAAGAAAACAGAGATAGCGGAACTCATCGAGAGATTTAAGATAACTGGTAACTGGTAATAGGCACTGATAATAAAGCCTAAAAGCGTTTTATCCACTTATAAAGTTATTACGATTTAAAATTATTTATAGAAAAACAAAAATAAGATTGTATGTGGCTATTATAAAATCGACTCTCTCTTCTCACGTTAAGAAGTCTGAACTATGATCAAATAGATAACGTTTGGGAACAAAGTGTGGATAAAAAAAAATGTGTGGTTATGATCAATGAAATAACGGAGAACTGGTATAGAAGATATACAAAGAGCTGTATGATATATGATGGAACTAGTAACACATTTTTTAAGGAGCCAAAGGATATAATGATTAGGATACATAATTAGAAAAAAAGAGAATGAAACAGTTAAAATAGTATTGGAATGGGAATCAGTAGGTAGACCAAGATCTAACCCTAACTTAAGATCCAGGGATGGTGGTTAATCAGCTTGACGTGTGGTTGAAGATCCAAAAATTATAGGAGTTGAAAACTGGAGAGTGTAGTTTAGGATAGAGTCGATAGAGACAAGTGGCGAAATGTAGTATTGCTACCAAAAGCACTTAGAAAATAGTCATATATTCTTTTTAAATTATCATTTATTAATTTTATATTATTAATAGCAATTTATTATAAAACACAGGAAAAAAAAAACTAAAATTATTTTTTTAGTAAAGAGATATATAAATATTATCCGCATTTATATTTCCATCCATGCCGATTCAGCAATAATAAAGATGCTTCAACTTAAAAATATTTTTTAGCGTCTCAATTAATTTAATTATTTATACTTTATTACAAAATTTAACTATATAATTTTGTTCTTAGATGAAATTATTAAATTAAAAATTGTATTCAGTAGATGGGTAAAAATAATTAGGGTAAAAAATCTATATTGACTTTTGATGAGACGATAAACTATATGACCCTTTTAATCTCATATCCACAGGTCATTTTAAAACCCAAATACTCTGTAAACATCATGCAATTACGATTGAAATGAATAGAATAAAATGTCATAATTGTATTTTGAGAGGAGATGAGAGATACTTCATTAATTGTACTAATTGTTCATTAGCACAGGTATAACAAAATGAGTTAATTTTGAGTGGTAAAACTGTTTCGAGATTGTTATGTTGTTACATATTATGTATGGGACTACATCCTGTTTCCACGAAAAAGCTCCACTCATTGATTTCCACGACAAATTCAACTAGTAAAACCATTCGCTCTGTGCAGCTTAAAAACTGTGCATGATAAATTTTTACTTATAATACTTGCGCATTATATATTGCCGCCACCGTTTAAAGTAATATTCTAAAATGACTAGTAATTTGTTTTATGCATACCTATAGTATAATAACCACATAACTAAACTAACTTATATACGTATTATAGAACCTATAGATTTTAATAATAATAAATAGTCTCTAGTAGCTGATACAATATATGAGTATGTAGTCGAATTAGTATGGTATACTAACAATTTTTAAACCACACGTGCAGTTTTAATAACAGTAACAGCTGCAAATATAATAGCATAATTTATATCTAGAGCTGAGAAAATAATTCTCAAAGTGGTTTTACGCTTTTAAAATTTGAAGTAATGCACTTAATATATTTTTTATTTAAAACACAATGTTGTAGACAAAAAATATTTTTAACTTTAAATTTAAAAAAAGTTCTGCAGAAAATGCCAGAAATGCACAATCTCAAATCTTCAATGTGTACTTTTAATCTGAAAAAATATAGTGAACATGCATTGAAATCGATTTCAGTTTTTACAGTTTCTAGACAGATTACGTATTGATGAACGGAGAATTATAGCGAATCTAAATGTGCATTACTATCGCCACTCGTTATATTGGTTTTGATGTCGTATGGGATGCGTTCGAATAAACACGATCGTTCAATAATAAATAATATTAAATACAACATTTTTATTATATTAAAGTCTAAAAAATCTTAAAATGTTTTAAAAATGAAAAAATGACCTTAGATTTAAAAAATACAAAATAAAAATGTATTATTTCATTTCAAAATGAATGAAACATAAACGTTATATTGTAACGAAACGATAACTGCGTAGAAAAACAATGAAGAGTGCAACGAAATCTTAACCCAAAATTACCGTACATATATAATAATATTATGTGTTAATTTAATAATATTATAAACAATTTTTTAGTGAACACCATTATGTGTCGTGTAGTATTTAAATAAACATAAAGATATAATATAATATAATATAATACATGTGTATCTCCATTTATAGTTTGGACATAAACCGGCATATGACTACAATACGTATATCATATATTTAAACCATTTATGAGCATATCTTGAACTACATGTATAATCTACAATACAATATTAAATACTATATTATAATTTATAAAATATTAATACTATACACTGTATTTTTACGTTTCATTATACCGAGTAATTTATTTTAAGTAATTCTCTTTATTTTTAGAACTATTAAAATTTTGAATACAATTTTAAGTTATTAAAAAATTACATTTTTCTAAAAAAAGTTTATTTTTTATCGTTGTTTGAATAATATTACGTTTCGGGTTATGAAATTTAAAATGTATAGTTATCATTAAATGAGCAAAAGATTTAAAAAAAATGATAGAGATAAGAATTCTTATTTTGTAACGGGCTTAAAAGTATGAAAAAGAAATATTTTCAAAAAACGTTTGTGTTTTTTGAAATAATGATTGTCTTGCGTTAAATGGATTATTCTGGATTTATTCAAATTGTATGAGCACGATATACCAAGAACATCCTGCAGACGATATCATTTTTAATCTCATTAAATTTTATACCGAAGAGTGTGTGATACTTTATATTGCTAAACTACTTATATAAATATTTGTTTTCTTAATAACCATATTATATCTAATAGTTTGTGCTATATTTAGGGGAAAGTTATATATTTTCTTACACAAATGCACAATAAGTGTAAAATCAATTTCTACTTTAGTATTATGTATATGTGTTATGTGTACCTATTAGTTAGACGTTATATGCAATATCATTAAAAGCTAAAGAGTATTTTATCGTATATAACCCTAAGTAAAGTGTTTAACAACGATCAATAGTAAGTCATTAATATAGGTGATTAATTTACATTAATTTATTATTGTATTATTTAAACACTAACAAACTGTAATTTGGTTTCATAATTAAATCTAATAAAGCAGTGTATACAGTTAAAGTTATATTTTCATAATTAATTATTTAATTTGACAATGAATTATAAAACCATGTTACAATATGCCAGACTTTATTCCTAATTGAAATAATATGTTCAATAAATAATAAGTATAAGTTTACGCGTAATAACTAGATAGTATTATTCTCTTAGAAGTAAAATTATACTTTTTTTTTACCAATTTTGATTATATGGGTATTTTTTTAAACTTTATTATATTTTTAGAAATCTAAGTCCTTTAATTCTTCTTTAATTAATTATTACATAATTTATCCAAGTGAATGCGTATAACTATACTAATATTAATTATGTTGAAGTTGTTTTCACGATGTAGTCATTAATCAAATAAATAAATAACTTTAATTTAATGTTTTATTTTTAATAAACGTTTACCGTTGTAACTTTTTTTATTAGTTATTAAAATCCATTGTTTGATTATGATAATATTATTCAATACTATAGTTATTTTGTGCGTAGGTAAACTTATGAG